ATTTCTAGGAGTTTTTAAAAATATATACAGTATATATATTCAGGCCGTGGATAAGTGAATCAGCAGATACGGATCCTGTTGATAAGGAGATGCTGCTGTTCTTTTCACTGGAGGACGGCAGGGCCCGCCATCCCGGACTCTCGGTTATGCTAGCTGAGGCTTCAGAAGTCCAAAACGTCAGGAGCGCAGTTTATGAGTTTATAACTTAGTTCACCAACCGCATTTTTTTCCTGCCCCCCCCAGGTGTCTCTGGAATACAATCCAGGCTGGAACAGCTCAGCGGTGAGTCTTCTGCATATCCAGGCGGTAGGCTTGAATGACAGCATCCACTATGTCTGGAGCACCCTCGGGACACCCACCGTGCTGCTGGTTTACTCCGGGAGCGCGCACAGCGCCCTTCGTCTCAACTGGACCAAGCTCCTCTCCCCTTCTCCCTCCGGAGCCATCTGGGTGGAACCCGTGGATAGTGTCCTCTATTCCGCAGCCTTCGTCTTTACCAGGGTGGGTTGCGAAGGAGCGACGCCGGGAAGAGTACGGGGAATTCTTCGCCAAAGAATCGGCGCCCGAATGGGTGGCCTCGTGGTGGAGTTGGTGGGAAGACGTTTGTGGGAGGGAAATGGGGAGGTGATGATGGGGGGTGCAGGTAGGGCTTAAGGTGTGTGGGGGCCCAGCTGGTTTCAGAAAGCCACACCCCGCTCCTCATTGCATCATTTCCCTGATTGTTTTATGGGTTTCCCCGTCATTGGAAGAAACTGACATTGTTCTCTTAAGGTTTGTTACTTAGGGGGCTGGGGGGGTTCAATAGGGTGGGGCCTATGCAGACTTTCAGACACTCTCTTTCTGTCTCTCCTCCCATCAGGGTGGATTCGATTTAAATTTTGTCAAAGTGCTTTGCCTCCCGGAGTTGGGTCAAAGTCATGTTCTCATCTGAGAAGCTATGATCAGTCAAATGTCCCTGAAGGCAATACCCATTGGCTGATAGTTACAGATGCTGCAGAGACGTCCAGCAAAATCGGTCGTTACGCTGTACGTCTTCTGTTCATCTGGTTCATGATGCAGGGAACTGGTCAAAAAATATCTAAGGAGGATTTGAAGCCACATTTGAAGTTCCATTAGCTGGGGGAGAGAAGTATCTGATGGTGGAGCCAGAGATTTAAGAGTTCAGTTCCCCCTGGACGTTCCAGAAGACACAGCCCGGGATGAATCCACTTCACAATGATGTTTTTGCCATCACAAAAGTGATCACAAAACGATGTTTGAATGGGTTTTTTTCGCTTAGCGATGGATCGGTTCCCTGCTTCGGGAACCGATTTTTCGCTAAACGATGTTTTTTCAACAGCTGATCGGCGGTTTTCAAAATGGCCCCCACTGTTTTTAAGAGGCATTTTTTGTGGACGTTCCAGAAGACACAGCCCGGGTGGCTTTGGGCAAGCTGCAGAGTCCCAGGGTGTCCGCAGAAGGAGGGAATATTCAACTACGCCTGAGTGCTCTCTACACTTTGAAAAGGGTTGTTATAAATCAGAATGGACTTGATTGCACGCGATGATGATTGAAATGACATTGGAATGGATCCATATGACCAGATTGAATCAGGAAAGCTTGGCTTTCTCATGCACGTAGGTGTTTGTAGATGTCTAGTGTACAGCTTTCGTTCTGGTCGGTCATTATTGGCGAATCTAGATTGAAACATTGATACTATACAATGGAAGCCCCTTGAAATGCACTCAGTTTAGAGAAGGTGAGGATGTTCGGCTTTCTCCCATCTTGGTGGCTTCTACCTCGGGGAATAGATCATATGTAGAGATGGGGACAAACTGCTGGTTTGTTGATCGGCTGAGTGGGTGTTTGGCGCTTCAAAGCCCTGCGGTTCTAGGTACGTCTAGGAAAGAATCCTTCCTGGAATCTTGGCAAGCCGCGGCTGCCGGTCGGCATTGGCAGTGCTGGTCTAGACGCACCAAGAGCCTAACCCAGTGCAAGCGGCTTGTTTAGAATTCCAAAGTATGATTTGCCCATTTGTTGCAACACCAGGTCCTTAGGGATGAGTGGCACGGAACACAGGAGGGACCCCAGTATCCGCAGAGGATCGGTTCCAAGCCCGCCTCATGGATGCTGAAAAATGCAGATTATCATGAACCCTATTTTAATAGCGAACGCTATACTGAGCATTAGTAACCCTGAGTGCTCCCTGGAAGGACAGATCCTGAAGCGGAGCCTCCAGTACTTTGGCCACCTCATGAGAAGAGAAAACTCCCTGGAAAAGACCCTGATGTTGGGAAAATGTGAAGGCAAGAGGAGAAGGGGACGACAGAGGACGAGATGGCTGGACAGGGTCATCGAAGCGAACAACATGAATCTGACCCGACTCCGGGAGGCAGTGGAAGACAGGAGGGCCTGGCGTGCTCTGGTCCAGGGGGTCATAAGGAATTGGACACGACTTAACGACTAAACAACAACAATACTGAGCATGGAGTCTGGCTCGCTTTAGTGGCCAGTTCTGGTGATGACATTGTAGAAGTATATTTCTCTAGTGAAAGCTTTCTATAGCATTGTCTCTGGCTACTTCTAGTCACTAGTTCTGGTAGCTTCCTCTTCAGAAATATATATTTCTAGGAGTTTTTTAACATATATA